CAGGGGCACCCAAAGGAGGCCACTCTGTCCATGGGTTCCATGTTGGCCATTCACCGAGCTATCCAGCCAGCCTGTTTGCCTCCTGAACCTCAATCCTCAATGTCCACCAAACGTTACTTTCCCCCATGTGCCTATCCCATTTGAAGCAATCGGTCGCTTCTGCCAACCCCTCCCTGCCCTCCATGTGGGCAGTGGGTCAGAGGTCATTGCCATTCAATGTGTCCCTCCCCATTCAGAACACAGTGAGTAACCCTCTCTCTCTCGGATTTCTCAGGTACAGATTCAAGCCACACAGACCAAACAGGCTAACCAGGCTTATGTTGGGGTGAAGGCCGAGCTTACTACATACCATCAGGAGTTGCTGACCCTGGATGCTGAGTATAACGCCTTGCTCGGCTCTGTAAGTAACTCCCGATTGTTTATCCTAAGGTCATTCCGGCCTGTACTGAAACAGGCTCCATTCGGGCAGGGATAAAAAAATCTGACTGACCCAGACTTGCCTTGTCATTTCCAGCTGAAGGGTCTGGAGAATAACCTGATGAACGTCGAGTCCAGATACGACATGCAGCTTCAGGGACTACAGTGTAGAATCGCACAGCTGGAGGGAGAGCTGGGACAGATCAGAAGTAACATCCTTCAGCAGACACAGGAATACGAGAAGCTGCTTAACATCAAGATGAATCTGGAGAAGGAGATTGGGCAGTACAGGATTCTGTTGAATCAAAGCCAAAGGTAAGGCAGCGTCGCTGAGTAGGAGCAGAATTAGGAACTGGAGGAGCCCAGTTAACTACCCACCGTCCCACTCCCCAAAACCCCCCACTCCCCCTGCCTCTGGTATTCAACCAAATTGGGCCTGAGCACCATTATCCCACACTGTGTCCAGGGGCCCACAAGCAACAACTTTCATCTGTCATGCCTTGCTCTCAAGTCTGCAAGCTTCTCTCCATGTGGAAAGCCAGGAAGCTCATCTGTTTGGTTGAAGACTGGGCCTGAGTGTGGCTTCTTTACGATTGAAATTTGGAAAATCGGAGCAGGAGTAGGCCATTCCACCCTTTGAGGCAGCTCTGCTACTCGTTATGACTATGGCTTATCATCATCACCCAGGATGTGAATGTCGGTAGCAAGTCCAGCATTTGTTCCCCATTCCTAATTGTCTCTTGGGAAGGTGGTGGCGAGCTGCTTTCTTAAACCCCTGCTGGCTTTAGGCTCCAGGGACACCCACAATGCAGCTCAGGAGGGAGTTCCAAGATTTTGACCCAGCGGCACTGAAGGAACAGCGATATATCCCAAAGTCAGGTTGGTGTGTGGCTTGGAGGGGAACTTGCAGGGGCTTGTGTTCCCACGTATCTGCTGCCTTTGTCCTTCTGGATGGAAAGCGGTCGCGGAAGGAGTTCCCAGTGGCTGAGGAGTCCGGAGCCAGGGATCACAGTTTAAGGATATGGGTTAGGCCATTTTGGACTGAGATGAGGAGAAATGGCTTCACCCGGAGGGTGGTGAGGCTGTGGAATTCTCTGCCACAGAAAGCAGTTGAAACCAAAAACATTGAATGATTTCAAGAAGGAGTTAGATATATTTCTTAGGCCTAAAGGGATCAAAGGGTATTGGGAGAAAGTGCGAACAGGGAACTGAGTTGGATGATCAGCCATGATCATATTTAATGATGGGGCAGACTCAAAGGGCTGAATGGTCTCCTCCTGCCCCTAGTTTCTGTGTTTGGAAGGTGCGTCTAAGAAGCCTTTACAAGTTTCCATAGCCCATCCTGTAGATGGTATCCCATCCCAATTGATCAGTCTTACAGCTTTCATGTAAATGCACACCATTAAAAGGGGCAACACACACTCAGTGATGTTGGCATACCACAGAATCGCAGAAACCCTACAGTGAGGAAGCAGGCCATTCAGCCCATCGAGTCCAGACCTGGGCAGACATAGGCCAGACAAGATATGTTTAATTCCGTGGCAGTGTTGCCAACTGCCCAGGATTTCCCTGGAGGTTGCAGTAACTACAGATTAATCTCTTTGGCATCATTCTGAGCAACAGCCAGGAGAAAATCACAGCGTCAAAAAATGAGTGTTTTTTTTCTAGTTTTCTTTGAAATGAAGTGTGTTTTAGATTGAATAGGTTACAGCCTGTTTGATTGGACGCTTCAAAATCATCCAGTGGCATATCAAAGACCTGCTTGCTTTCCTATTGGCTGGGGAGAACATGGCTTGCCATGAGGATAGACAGTTGCGTGACCAATGGCAGGGGTTCTGAGGTGGTGGGCTGCAGAGTGGTAGCAGGCCATGTGACAGATCCTGTGGACTATCTCTGACGAGAGTTGGCTCCCCTCACAATTACTCACCAATCTTTATTCTCCTGAAGTTGAGGGTTGGGGAACAATGTCTGAATCCTAGGGATCGTCCACAAACTGGGCCAGAAGTCAGAGTCTGTTTCAGGAGGAAACGATGGCTAACTAAATGACATTATCTACTGCAAAGACAGCAAACTAGCAAGGAAGATACAGGTAAATGGTGCACTCAATAATGTACCCTGTTTCTCCTTTCAGCTCGATCCAATCTGGTAGCAGCTCCTCCTCCTTTTTGTCAGGATCAGGATCTCAATCTGGTAAGTATTCCAGTGTTTTTGTGAGGTGTGTGATAAGGGATGCCTCTGCTCTCAGTAGGAAATGCAAGTGGGCCATTGTCTCCACTTGAGCCCATCATGTTCTGCCTGGTGTAGACTGATGCTTGTGAGCAGCTGTTCCCTTCTCGATATGTGGGCATTGCTGGGTGGGTTCAGGGCCCCTCTATACTCCCACCCCTGCCCACAGTAGGTCAGAGGAGGTGGGTGCTCTTTCTGAATCCCTACAGTCTGTCCTGCTGCTGAAGTTCCAGGATTTTGACCCAATGATGCTAAGGGATCCTGGCAAGTGTATGACTGAGTTGGAATGGGCTGTGTCTTTAGAGATTGAAGAGCATTGCCAAGGCACTGTTGCCCATGTCTTTGGTGATAGGGCAGTGGGAAAGGGAGGTCGCTGTGCTATTTGCTCATTCTCGTGACCTTTAGAAATGATCTTGCTAAATGTCGCACAGCTGTTCTCTCTATCTTCATTGCACTGTCCTTTGCTTCTTCTGACAGGAACAGGATCTAGCACCTCAGCAACCACGTGAGTGATTTTGACACTTTTATTGTGACTGTGAACATTACTTGTGCTATTGTGGAAAGAATTGCTGTGATTGGTCCCAATGATTTTTGGCTTGACAGTGATATCACAAACAGGGAGGGGCTCCCGTCAAACAGGGAGCGGCTTCCATCAAACAGGGAGGGGCTTCCATCAAACACTCCCAGTACAGGGACAGCACGGGGTTAGATTTAGAGTAAAGCTCCTTCCACACTGTCCCCATCAAACACTCCCAGGACAGGGACAGCACTGGGTTAGATACAGAGTAAAAGGATGGGTGAAATCTAGGGTTCATTCTCCAAAAAGGCTGGGGTCATTGGTTAATAATTTGACCTTTTCAAGTTTTGGGATGGACCAATATTTTATCTGGGTTAGGTACCAGTGCTAATGAAGGAAAGGTGGGTTGTTGAGGTTCGGACTCTCCATGATTGAATTCAATGATAGAGCAGGCCTGATGGCCTGAAGGGACTACTGATGGTCTTCATGTTCTTAAACGCTATGAGGAAGGGAAGTGGCAGCATTACAAGGTTTGACACTTGGTTCGGGCAGAGCTAATTTCAGACAGGACGTATATTTTCTGTCTCTAAGAGCAGACACTCACTTCTTTTGTCCTTTTCTGTTTTCTTTACAGAACGAAAATTATCACAGGTAAGAAAGCTTTCAAGTTATTTTCTGTAAAGTCTCTGTTTGTAGCCCTGACGTCCTTTGACCCACAAGCTTGAACTCTCAGTCAGTGATCAATTGGCTGATCCTGGATAAGGCTGTGTTGTATCTTCCTGTCCTTGCACGTTGGCAACATTTTTAATCTTGCACTGATCAGGAGACATGCAATAATGCCAAAGATCCAACGATCACAACAATTACTGCAGGAGAAATTGGCTGGCTCCAACCCCTGAGGATGTGTCACACAAGGGCAAGGTGTAGATTGGACTCTGGGCTGCTCATAGTGAGTGGTCAGTGAGACACAGACTCCTTTCCTGTTTGATCTACTTTAGAGATGGAGAGCCATGTTAGACTGAAGAGCGAGATTGATGTACTTATAGCAACTCAAATTTGTTTCAGTAGAACAAGCGGGTATAGCCTCAAGATAAGGGGGAGCAGGTTTAGGACTGAGGTCAGGAGGAACTTCTTCACCCAAAGGGTTGTGAATCTGTGGAATTCCCTGCCCAGTGAAGCAGTTGAGGCTACCTCATTGAATGTTTTTAAGGCAAAGATAGTTAGATTTTTAAACAGTAAAGGAATTACGGGTATGGTGAGCTGGTGGGTCAGTGGAGCTGAGTCCATGAAAAGATCAGCCATGATCTTATTGAATGGCGGAGCAGGCCCAAGGGGCCAGATGGCCCACTCCTGCTCCTGGCTCTTATGTTCAGTACTTGAAGGATAGACAAATAATACCTGTTTCATTTGGTGTCTTTGCAGAAAGGATAACTCGTTATTAATGACAACGGCTGGCACCAGGTCTCTCGGCAAGGCATTTTCTGGAGAACCATCATGATTATTTGCTGTTGCGGTTTCTTACAGAATCTCAGGTTGTGGGCTTTTCTCATGCGAGGCTTCTGTCTCACAGCCTTAACTTCTATTGCACTGAAATTGTAACAGAGCACCCACGACTCCCTTCAGACAGAATCCACTGTGTCCAAATCCAATCCATGGGGGCTACTGCTCCAAGAGAACCTTCACCACCACCTCCTCTTAAAAGACTGACCCTTCTCCATGTGACCGCTCTTGTTGCCAATCTGCCCCATGCAGAAACACCAACACTAGCAAGACACTGCTAGGGAGGCAATGTAATTGTTCCCATTCCCCATGTGGTGCCGTGTGCCCCAACCAGCTGAAAGGTAGTAGTGCCTATGGGCTGGATTCTTTGGCCTAGGGGCACAGTGGGTCTGATCACTGTTCGGCCCCTTTGAGACTGAACCTAAGGTGAGGGATTGGCTCGAGATTCCCAGGCTGATGGGAGCCTCCAGGGGGTCTGTTCCTCACAGAAGGACCAAATCACAGAAGCCAGGCCTTTCTCATTAGAGTCAGACCTTGCCTGTGAGCTGGCATCTTTCAACTCTGCCTTAATGCAGAGGAAGGAAACTCGCTGAGTCTCCCTGACCACTGGCCTTAGTGATTAACTTCCCTGAACTGGGGGATAGGACTGACTTGACTCACCTCTGGAACCGGACTGACTGCGTCTGTGGAAAGCCCTGGGCTGCTCAGAAATCTCAATGTCTTTCTGTATGTCCATTCTCTGCTTCAAAGCCAATCAATAAATGCTACATTTGTCATCCTCCCCCGTTGTGTGGTGTGAGTCATTATTGTGGAAAATGTCAAACTCTCAGAAGAAGGCAAGATGTTGGATGGAGGTATTCCAATTGAGAAAGATCTTCTCAAAGGGTAACAAACAGGTGAAGGATAATAGAGTCATAGAGATATACAGTAGGGAAACAGACCTTTCAGTCCAACTCGTCCATACCGACCAGATATCCTCAATGAACCTAATTCCCTTTGCCAGCATTTGGCCCAGATCCCTCTAAACCCTTCCTATTCATGTACCCATTCAGATGCCTATTAAAGGTTGTATTTGTACCAGCCTCCACCACTTCCTCTGGCAGCTCAATCCTGACACGCATCACCCTCTGCGTGAAAAAAGTTGCCCCTTAGGTCCCTTTGAAAATTTTCCCCCCTCATCTTAAACTATGCCCTCTAGTTTTGACTCCCCTACTCTGGGGAAATGACCTTAATATCCATGCCTCTCATGATTTTATAAACCTCAATAAGGTCAATCCTCATCTGATGGTCCAGGGAAAATAGCCCCAGCCTACTTAGAGTCTCCTTATAGCTCAAACCCTCCAACCCTGGCAACATCCTTGTAAATCTTTTCTGAACCCTTTCAACCCTCCAACCTTTTCACAATATTTTTTTTCTCTATAGCAGGGAGACCAGAATTAAGCGTAGTATTCCAGAAGTGGCCTAACCAATGTTCTGTACAGCCGCAACGTGACTTCCCAACTCCTATACACTGACCAATAAAAACAAGCATACCAAATGCCTTCTTCACCACCCTGTGTACTTGCGACTTGACTTTCAAGGAACTATGAACCTGCACCCCAAGATTTCTTTGTTTGACAACACATCTAATAGTCAGTAGTAGGCAACAAAGGAAAACTATTAATTTCTAACCAAGAGTTTGCAAGGTTAAACTCCTTCTATCAGTGGTCAAGGTACAGAATACTGAACTTGAGGAGGAGAAGGTGTTTACGAAAGGGAAGGTGATAGATATCTGGAGAAAAAAAAGACATCTATAGAGAGAGCAGAGATTCAAAGAGCTCAATGATAAGCTGTAACAGGAAGGAGCAGAAATGTGCAGCAGAAATTAGAAGTAACAAGGGTTTAAAAAAAGTCAAAGCTTAAGTCTCTTTACCTAAATTTATTTGTAACAACATAGGAGAGATGATGATGCAAATAGAAGTAAATGGATGATTTAGTAGTTATTACAGAGACATGGCTTCAAGGTGACCAGGGCTGGGAACTCAATATTTCAAACTTCCCTTCAATTGAACTCTTCCCCCAACCTCAACTCCACTAATTTGTTCAAAGCCCCTCCCTGGATATATGATTTGCCAGGCCATTGGTTTCAGCAAAATTCCCAATGAAACAGCTCTCTCTTTCCCTAGTACTGGTATCATTGCCCGTTGAATCAGAACCCATTTCTCCCATGCAATCTTTGAGCCATGCATTACCTCTAATCTTATTTGCATTATGCCAATTTGCACAGGGCTCAAGTAATACTCTGAACATTATTGTTTTGTGGTTCTGCTTTTTAATTTAGTCCTGAGCTGCTCATGATCTCTCAGTGGAACCTGTGTCTTAGTTCTATCTATTGTCATGGTCCACGTCGGTAGCAATGACAACTGAATCGTTTCCATCCCACTCTAGGTTTTTCTGTAGCTGGAGGAGATGTCCTTAACATTGACACCATGTAGGCAATACAGCTTTCAGGACTCTGTCTATCAGTTATTCATTTATTTCTATTTGCAAAGACATCTCATCTATCTTGTTACTGACATACCAGCAAGTGGAAACAGAATATTCTTTTCCTTGTTAAAATTGTTCATAATTTTGAACACGTCAATGAGATCACCTCTTAATCTTCCCTGCTCCAAACTGAATAAGCCTCAAATCTTTCCTTGCATCTAAAATCCCTCATTCCTGGTATCATTCTAGTAGATCTCCTTTACACTTTCTCCAGGGCTTTAACATCCTTCTTTAAATAAGGTGCCCAGGACTGAACATAACACTCCAAAAGTGGTCTGACCAATGATTAATAGAGGTGTAGCATCACTTCCTTGCTTTTATACCTTAAGCCTCTATTTCTAAACCCAAGGATCCTATAAGCCTTCTTAACAACTTTTTCAACATGCCTGGGCACCTTCAGAGAATTATGCAAAGGAACCCTAAGATGCCTCTGGGTAATGGGCTCCTCCTCTGCCACTGCTGTTTCTGAACGGGAAAATAGCAGATAATTCAAACTGATACTTTCCATCAATCTTCACAGTGGAGGACACTATAAACAATCCAAAGATAACGGATAAGCAAGGTGCTAAGGGGAAGAAAGATCTTGCAGCATTCCTAAAATGATGAGCAGTTATATGGAGTATAGAGAGGTGTAGCACGGTGGCCCAGTGGCAGTGCCACCTCGCAGTGTTAGGGACTTGGGTTCGATTCCACCCTTGGGCGACTGTCTGTGTGGTGTTTGCATGTTTTCTCTGTGTCTGTGTGGATCCCCTCTGGGTGCTCTGGTTTCCTCCCACAGTCCAAAGATGTGCAGTTTAGGTGGATTGGACATGCTAAATTGCCCCATTGTGTCCAGAGATGTGCAAACTAGGTGGGTTGGCCATTAGAAATACAGGGTTACAGGGAGAGGTGAGGGGCATGGGTCTGGGTGGGATGATCTTCAGAGGGTTGGTGTGGACTTGATGGGCCGAGTGGCCTGCTTCCACACTATAGGGATTCTGCGATTTGATGAACTTCACTGTCAAATTAACTTCAGGGGTGGGGGAGAGTCTAGAAACAATTATTATGGATAGAATTAGAATGCACACAGTAAAAGATGGGAGGATGAGGAAGTTAACACAGATCTCAAAAGGGGAAATTATGCCTCAATGGCTCACTGGAGCTTTTGGGAGGAGGTAGCAGAAAGTCTAGTTGAGTATGACATGATGATCTGAAGTATCTGAGCAACCAGGAAGATTTTGCTACAGTGCCACACAATGAGTGTATGGAGAAAGTTATAGGTCATGGAATAAAAGGGACATGGTTACAAAATTGACTGAGGAATGGGAAACAGTACAATCATCATAAGATTTTTGTTTCCAGCTGGAGGAAGGTTTATAGTGGAGTTCCCAAGGATTGGCATTGAATGCCTTGCTTTTCCTGATAGATATTAATAGCCCAGATCTTGGTGTGCAGGGGATAATTTCAAAGTTTGCAGATAACACGAAACTTGGAAAAACTATAAACTGTGAGAAGTTCTAAACAGTGCAGAAATCGAAAGGACATAGACTTGTTGGAGTGGGCAGAAAGGTGGCAGATGATGTGTAATGCAGAGAAGTGTTGGGTGATGCATTTTAGTAGGATGAACACTGAAAGACAATATAAAGAGGAGATAAATCTAAAGGGGTTACAGGAGCAGAGGGAGCTGGATATGTATGTGCACAGATCACTGAAGGTGGTAGGTCAGGTATATAGAACAGCGAACAAAACGTACCTTTTCTAAAATTCATTCACAGGATGAGGGCATCATTGGTTAGGACAGCATTTATTGCCCATCCCTAATTGCCCAGAGGGCAGTTAAGAGTCAACCATATTGCTGTAGATCTGGAGTCACATGTAGGCCAGACCATGTAAGGATGGCAGTTTCCTTCCCTAAAGGACATTAGTGAACCTGATGGGGTTTTCCAACAATTGACAATGGATTCATGGTCATCACTAAACTCTTAATTCTAGGATATTTACTGAATCCAAATTCCAGCACCTGCCATAGCAGGATTTGAATCCAGGTCCCTGGAACATTAGCTGAGTTTCGGGATTAACAGTTCAGTGATAAGCACGAGGCTGTGGCCTCCTTATTTTTAATAGGGACATAGAGTACCAGAGTGAAGAGGTGATGTTGCATTTATATTCAAGACCTTAGTTGGAGTTTTGTGGATAGTTCTGGGTAGCACATTATAGAAAGGAAATGAATGCATTGGAGAGAATGCAGAAGTGATTTACAAGAATGGTTCCAGGGATCAGGAACTGCAGTAATGAGGATAGATTAAAGAAGTTGGGACTGTTCTCCATGGAGAGAAGAAAGTTGACAGGAGATCTGATAGAGCAGGGATGGAGAGTAGATAGTGGAAGCAATTCTCACTTCTAAAAGGAACAAGAGCAAGAGGACATATATGAATAGGAAGGGTTTAGAGGGATATGGACCTAATTTTGGCAAATGGACTGGATTAATTTAGGATATCTGGTCAGCATGCATGTGTTGGACCAAAGGGTTTGCTTCAGTTCAAAACATCTCTATGACTCTATCTCTCCATGCCAAGTGTGTGCCTTATTTGGAATTATCCGTGCATATGGCCAATCCTGAATATTTTGGCCAAATACATGCCTTATCTGGTACAGACAGCAATTACTGACCTCCTCAGATATAGTAAGAACTGCTGATGCTGGAGTCTGAGATAACACAGTGTGGAGCTGGGGGAACACAGCAGGCCAGGCAGCATCAGATGAGCAGGAAAGTTGACGTTTCGGATCAGGACCCTTCTTCAGAAATGAGGTTGGGGTGGGGGGAAAGGGAACTCAGAAATAAATAGAGAGGACAGGTGGGGCTGGGGAAGGTAGGTGGGATGGTGATAGGTGAGTGCAGTTAGGGAATGGTGGGGATTGGTCAGTGAGGCCGGAGATAGGTGGGAGAGAAGATGAACCGGTTGTGTCAGATCAAGGAGGCGGGGATGAGAGGGAGGGTTGGACATGGGATGAGGCTGGGGGTGAGGAGATTTTGAAACTGGTAAAATCCACATTTAGGCCATTGTTTCCTGAAGTTTTAACTCTGAGCAGGCCAGAGTGACTCAGTGTAATACCATTCATACAACAGCCTATTATTAAGCCTGTAATCAGTTCCTGTTATCTTCAGCCTTATCCAACAGTGGTCAAGCTCTCACAGATCAAGGACCTTTAGGTTTAGCTTTCAGCAATTGCTGCTGAGGTCTTGAAGAAGTGGAAGCTCTTTCTCTCTCTCTTGAT